CTAGTTGTGCACGTGGTGTTATATGTTTGCCTGTCACTGACCTTAAGTCACTGTACTGCTAACTAGACAATGGTCTGAAAAAGACAAAGTCTTACTCTTCTTGAGAAGACAAAGGAAGAATGCTTTACTGTTATCTCTTTTCCTTCTGGGCTTTTCAAGAAGAATGTGGGACATGGAGAGTCCCCTTTGTCTGCCTTCATTAAAATGAGGCACAGACAGCTTCAGTTCCCACGGGCAACAGGCTATATAACAAGTGATGTCCCTGGCTTCCTGCATTTGCAGTAGAATTTGGATGCCCTTTTGGGTTGAGTGTATGTGGAGATGAGATGTCTATGTGATCAGTGAGGGGACAAGCTGTCTCCACCCATGTATATAACTGTAGGATAGATAGAGCCATCATGAATGAGACTCAGAAGTCCTTTCTTGCCTTTCTTTTGCAGAGAAGCTGGGAGCCTAATGAATGTGATTGTGCTGTCAGCCACCAAGCCCGGGTGCTGGGCTCTGACAAAGAGGCATTGTTGGCCAGGAGCTTTGCCCTCTTCCTGCTTCAGTTAATGATTTAATTACAACAGGAAGTACAAGGATGGGCTGGGATTGTAAATGAGATCTCAGAGTCTATCATAGCTTTCCTTCCTTTAGGAATATCACAACATAAAGTAGTCAGTCTACATGGGAAAATGTAGTTCAGGTTGCAATTTTTCTTTTTTCTTTTTTTCTTTTTTCCTTTTTTCCTTTTTGAATCTAGATTCTAGGTCTGAAGATGGTCTTTCACATTCGAGGGGTGCTGCTTCCTTTCTTCCAAGTCAAATTATAACCACCCGTCATTAAGGCACCTTTCATAAACAAACAAGATATTTTAAGGAGAAATAGACAGAACATTGTTTGAAAGATTTATATTTATTTCTATTTTATGTGCATTGGTGTTTTGCCTACATGTATGTTTGTGTGAAGTGCCAGGTCCCTTGGTACTGGAGTTACAGTTGTAAGCTGCTATGTGGATGCTGGGGATTGAACCTGCATCCTCTGGAAGAGCAGCCAGTGCTCTTAACCACTGAGCTGTCTCTTTGGCCCCCAGAGGCAGAACATTTTAAACAGCACACAATAATGCCACATGCCCTTCTTAGCTATGGGACCAAAATAAAGAAACCTTCATTTGATACTCTGAACAGATGATACTAAAGTGAACACTGATATTTCACATGAATCATGTTAACTTCACCAGTTATTATTAACAGTATTACATATGAACAGGACCAGCCCTGAATTTCTGGGGGGGGGGTGGTGGAGGGTGACAGAACTAGAAGTATGAATTAATATCTCTTGTTTTCTCAGTGACCACTTCTATTCTAAAAATGTTGGAAAAATAAGGTGCCTTTAATGCTTTTTGTTTTTGAGACAAGGTTTGCTATGTAGCTCATGCTAGCCCAAGTGATCCTCAGCCTCCTAAGGGCTGGGATTGCCAGTGTTGCTGAGGCTATAGTGTGTGCTGTCATTGTAGAGCTTTCCTTTTCAGTACTTATCTAGCCTTTAGCAGATGCAGTGAGAAATTGGATTTCTGTGTCTACAATGTTTTGCAATCAAGGGGCTCAGCTGCTAGCTCCCCATGAGGAGACTAACTCTCCATGAGGAGACTGCCACGGCATCTTCTAGTGCCATGCATACGGAGCTAGGTAGTCGTGGAAAGGCTGCTAGTCTCTTTTCCATTTTGTCTTTTCTCCTCTGTTGTCAAATATGGCTTAAGGAGCATCTTTCCCAGAACAACGCACACTACTGGGGGCTTGAGCATGTTTTATTCTGCTTGTCTGCCCCATCATATTAATGGCTATGAACAGCGAAGAACCCCAGCCTAGTGTAGTACTGGTGCACTCAGTGAAGGTTGACTGAAGGATCGGTTGTATCTTGGAATTTGATACCCCACAGATATCAGGGCAAAGGGAAAAGCCTGAACGGAATGTGTGGTAGGTTGCGAATTTCTCGTTTCATGTGGTAACTGCGGAGAGTAGATGAGGGCGAGCCATGGACTTAATAATGACCTTCCAGTCTTTAGGTTTCTGTATTTAGCAAGTGCTCAGCTCCTGCATTAGAAACACACTCCTTCCAGTTCCCTGGTGGGGCCAGCTCCTTGGCAAGGCGTGTAGAAGCCCCAGGGGAACTGGTGTGGTTTGACAGCTTCTAAGAGGGGGTGGCACTGACTCCATTGAAATGTTTTCAAGAAACAGCTCCATTCAGCAAGGGCAACAACAAGTGTCTTGTTCTGTCCTCTAGAGTCCCAGCAAGGGGCCACACTGTCTACAGGATGCCATTAGTACCCAGACAGCATGGCACAGGAGTGAATGATTTCATCTGGACTGCTCAACTTCAGTGGCAGGGGGCAGCTGCTGGAGCTTGAGATTGGCCTTGTCTGCAGAGTCCTGTGTAAAAGATTCCATTCCAAAGTGCGAGGGGAAGGCAGCTGGAGCTGGGACAGGATAAGGCATGGGGTAAAGGCCTGCCCTGCTTTTGATATGATGGCACAGAGAGACACTGAACTTTGGAGATGTTCTTGGTGAACCACTCACCTTCTGCTAGACCTTAGCTTGCAGTTGGCATTGTCCTTTGGAAATTCCAGTTCAGCCTATGTCATAATAAGGATCTTTCCCATCACAGCAGAATTTGAAGTATTTATTTGGGAACTGGTTTAAAGGAAGCTGTATGTTACTTGGTTACAAAACCAAGATAGGGCACTTTGCTCTGCTCTGTATTAGAAAAGTTTTAGAAGCAAGATGGCATCATCAGTTTCTAGTAATTGTATGTGTTACTACCTGAAGCCTCATTTCATCAGTCACTGTACATGGATGTAGGCATGCACATGCCAGAGTGGGGGGGGGGGGGGTCGGAGGACTATCCCAGATGACTGAGCTTCATTGCCACAGAATACTACTAGGCTTGGTGGCCCGAAAGATTCCAGAGATTGGCCATGTCTCCCATGGCCTAGTGGGAGAGTTGGGATTGCAGGTACCCAAGCTACAGCATCCAACTATTCCATGAGTTCTGGGGATCCACGCTCATGCCTGGCAGAGTTATAGGCTCTGAACAATCTCAGCCCCCTCTTTGCTTCTTTTCTTTCTTTCTTTTTTAATGTTTGAGCATACATGTTTCATCTTAATTGTGCTACCTATTTATTTTAGTTTTAAACATATATCAATTTCTTTATTTTGTTTCTTTTTTTTTTTTGAGTCAATCTCATACCGTGTGGCAGTCTCCTGCCTGTCAGAGTTTATGATCTGGTAATAGCAGCAAACAACTTATAAATGACCAAGGTTCAGCGTGTGATAAGTAATATGATTCTCTTGTATGCAGATGTTTACTGAGCCCCAGTTATACTGTGCTCTGGAGTGCTCTAAGCAGTGCTCTGGAGATAATTTAATTAGCCAGGCATCCCCACTGCCTGCTTTTTAGGAGGCTACTATGGACCAGCAATGTGGTGAGGCTGGGCAGAGGGTGCCCTGGGGACAGAGTATCAGTTAAGGGAAAGGGGAGGCACTAGGTGTCCATATGGGGGAAGTTACTTGGAAGAGGCAAGGCTTGTGTTGTCAATATTGAGAGTTTATAAACCAAAGAAGACCCAAACAAAAATGTTCTGTAGAACTTCACTTTCTAATATATAAAACAGATGAAATTAATATATGGGGTGCAAATCAGGCACTTGCTTTGGACAGAAGACCTGGGTTCCTTGTCTGGCAGCATATAGACATGGGTTTGCATAAGCAAGCGCTTGCAGACTTGAACATTCTTAAAGCACTTGGGCTTGTTTGTTTTATTTTTTTCTTTATGTTGTGACATTATTTTTTAAGATTTATTTTCAATTACATGTATATATCTCCATGTAATGTGTGGGTGTTAGACGAGCCTATAGGCATCAGATCCCCTGGAGCTGGAGTAATAGGCAATTGTAAGCCACCTATGTGGGTGCTAGGAACTTAACTTGAGTTCTTCACAACAGCAAGTGTGTCTCTCAGCCATCTCAGCAGCCGCAAAAGGCAGAGTTTCTAACAGGCAATAGTGAATAGACAAAACCTGCAGAAAAGAAAGGGAATCAGAAAGATCACAGGAAAAGCATGGACTGGTGTGCCCGATTGCAGGTCATTATATGGGCTGCTCTGCTTGGTATGACATAGGAGTATGTGTCCAGGAGTGAAAATAGGTTGTAAGGTATTGGGAGAATTAAAAAAAAAAAAAAGTTCAAGTATTTGAGGATAAAGTCCAGAAGGTGTATTGGCATAGTACATTGGCTTCAATTGCTTACCTCCAAAATGCTACTCTCATCCCACAGATGGCATTTTGGAACATTTTGTAGAGAACTAAAATAGTATATACCTGTAGATTGACTTCATTAATTGCAATTCTAACACTTGCTTCTCTAAATACACAAGGACTGTTATGTGGTGAAACAGTGCTGTGCTTACTCAGGACGTGTGGTAGTCACACTTAAGTCTTTGTTTCACGCAGTTGTAGCTTAGCATATTAAAATATTTTTGGCTATTTTTTCCTAACTATCCTCGTGAAAATATTTTAAAGCATTTGAGAAGAGTCTAAATGTGTCAGAATTTCTACTTCAATAAAGCTCAAGCATAGAAAAGGGATTTCTTGTCTTCTTTACGAAAATGGTTGAGTATGTGGGAGGGAAAGGATCCTGCTTTATAGGCTTGCCTTACATGTGAAATCGATCCTTTGAACTGCTAAACATCAGATGAGTGTGCTAATTCAACTGCTAATCAGTTCTTCATTAAATGTCCAACTGTTATATGAGAAGTTCCCTCTTTCCAATAACAAGCTACACTTATATTTGTTTGACAATGATGACTGTTCTTTTAAAAATCACTCCTGCCCATTTCCAAGGCCAGTTCCCTACCCTCTGGGATCCCTTATGTTTTGGGAATGGGTTACAGTGTCTGTCTAGTAATAAACTACTTGCAGTGTCTAGGGGACTAATCTGAATTGCATCTGCTCTCTGTGTTTAGGAGTGAGCGAGCCCGCTGGATCACAGCCCTGGGACACAGCAGTGGGAAGCAGCCACCAGACAGAACCAGTAAGTTTCCAGGAACATGGAGGGGCTCTGCCCTCTGCTGGCCAGCATGGTTACAGACTGGTTACAGTCTACATAACTACCTACTTGAAAAGGTTCCTTCCAGGATAGCTATTAGTTCCTCCCATGTCAGTTGCTAGACATGAAAAATCACTGCTTAGCCTTTCTGGGTTTGTTTCTCCATCTGTGTGTCAGAGGCATTGGGTTCACTGTGGGTTATCGGGAAACTAAGGTCAATTATAGAGGGTGAAAGTCTTACTTGAACCATAAAGTGCTTATAGCTAGCGGTTACTAATGGGCTTGATTATAAACAGAAGTGTTGGGATGTGTCTGATTTTTATTGCTTTGTTTGAGAAAAAGACTTACTATTTAGCTCTGCCTGGCCTAGGCTTCACACATTAGTCCAGACTGGCTTTGAACTCAAGTTTTTGCCTCTGCTTTCCAAAGGGTGGGGTTATAGGGTATAGGCTGCCATATCTGGTTATAAGTTTTTGTTCTAAAGAAAATTACATTTTTCATGATCCCTTTAGTGTAAGTGGTAATGTCACGACAATGTACTTTATTCTTCTGGTGTCCTAGTATGGCCATTCTTTAACTGTGATGCTATGTTTCTGGATGACTTGTTAGAGGACTGAAGGATGAGGCTTACAAAGGTGATTTTCTGGAGCTCCTGAATGATCACAGCCTTTAGAGTCAAAGCAAAAGTGGTTGGGGTGACATCAAATGTTATATTAAAAACAAATAATGAAGCCATGTCAATCAGTTCTGCTGAGGTTGTGTTGCTGCAAATCAGCATTTGGTGGTGGTGGTGGTGGTGGGGATTCTGAATTAGTCTGGCCATCTTTTGGCTGGAGCCCTCACTTTTTTCTAAGCTGTACCACAGCCTTTATGCCTGGTTTCTGATAGGAGAGGGTTATTGCGGATGGTAGAGTTACACAGTCTTGGCCTGCACTTCCGCTCTCACCTCCTTTTCCTCGAGTGTAATTCAATGACTGACTCCAGGTTAGGCTATAGCATCTCCATACATCATAAGAGTCCTCCTGAACTCAACATTTAAAACCAGGCGTGAGGCTTCTTTATCTTCCCTTAGGAGCCTGGCTCAGACCACCAGTGCCAGCCCTGAAATTGAAGTGAGTGAATGCATACTGCTACTTTGTACACATTTTGTTTTTCAGCCTCTGGCCATTCAGTATGTTCCTTTTCCTCCACAGCACTGACCCAGGTGGAAATCATTAGATCTTTTACTGCCAAACAGCCCGATGAGCTTTCCCTGCAGGTGGCAGACGTGGTCCTCATTTATCAGCGTGTTGGCGATGGTGAGTAAAGATTATTCTCATAGGCACAGGTGGGCTGGTGCTCACAGAGCCTCAAGTCCAAGGAGTTTCATTTTGTCAGGAACACCTGTCTTCCACATCCTGACACAGCGATGCTTCAGCTCCTCTGTTCCAAGGCAGCCTTAATTTCACCCTTGTTCTTAACCCCGGTTCCTGACAATTCATGTCCCAACTCAGAGCCCTACAGAATAGAGGTGATGCATTTGAAAACCCTCACCCTGGCCCCTGTGCTCCTTTTCTCCCCAGGTTTACTTTTGAAACACATATGCGGCCACCATCCAGTTTCCTTTCCTTCCCAGCCCTGCAGTCACCTAACTCTTAACCTCCAGAAGCTTTTGTGCCCTGCCCCATGACTTAAAAAGACTTTCCTGCAGCTCCTGCCCAAAGGATTCCCTTCCTGAGCTCAGCCAGCTCTCTTAACCTCCTCCCTCAGAGCTTTTGCTCATGCTCAGTCTCTGGTGCATCATTCACTCTCTGGCAACCTTGTCCTATTTCACGTTAAGTATTTTGACCTTAACAAGCATCTATTGCACTGAGGTTTCTTCTTGACTGTTATCCATGGTATCCAGAAGAAAGCCACCTCTTCAGGGTAAGCTGGCATGGAATGCTACCTCCAGACATTCCTTGTGTAATGCAGCCTGTTTTTCCTTGCAGGCTGGTATGAAGGGGAAAGACTTCGAGACGGAGAGCGGGGCTGGTTTCCAATGGAATGTGCAAAGGAGATAACATGTCAAGCTACTATTGATAAGAATGTGGAGAGGATGGGACGCTTGCTAGGACTGGAAACCAACGTGTAACCTCTCAGATGGCCAATGGATCGGGGGCTAATTTTACCATTATTACAGTCTGCTTAATTAAAAAGATGGAAACACTTGCCTCTAAGCTTGCCAAGCCATTCTGCACTTTTGAAGAACAGCTACCAGATGCAGTTAGTCCACAAAACTCAGCTTTTCAAAATGATGCTCCTGAAAACTTCTGCGTTCAGGGATGACGAGTCTTGGCTCCCACCACTTCCACTGTGTTTTCTAAGATGCTGTATCCTGGCCTCTCTGCCCCTACTTCACTCAGAATGTTGCTCTTCCCCATGAGAGTTTCTCCTTTGTATGGTCCCATAGCACCAGCAAGTTTGTCTTTGAGAGTGTTCATTTTGTATATAGTTTTCTGTCTTAGCCTAATGCTGTTAATTCCATAAGGAACTAATAATAGTTTTGTAGGTGAGCTGTCATGTTTTGTAAACCTCTTTCTACGAAAGGGAAATTGACACTTGAACTCTGCCTCCATTTTCCTTATTAGAAGGAAGGTGAGGCGCCACCCAGTGAGGATTTTTAAAAATCTATCTCATTCAGTATTGTTCTTAGATAACTATAGTATCACAACCCTAAACTACTAAAATGACATGGGATTTACAGCTCACACATGTGAGAACATCCTGAAGACAGGATATTACGGGTCAACGGCTAAAGATCTGACATGAGCTTGCTCTGCCTTCAGTAACACATGGTTCCTGACAATTCTACTTGTTTTCAATTGAAAATGGCTGGGAACATACATTAACAATCTTCAGAAAGAGAAAATTAAACTTAATATTAAGATGCCAACAAGGTACTTGCTTGAAATATTTTGACGTTAGCAGGAACTTGTTGCTTTAAATACTTGGTAGATGGGTTTGGAGTCTCTCTTAGCTATGAGTTCCAAAAAGATACTGTTTTTCCACTAGGACAAGGAGTGACAATGTAGTATACTATGGTTTATTAAAAGGTAATAAAGGTTTGAAAGACTGACACAGGAAACATTTTCATTGGTAGCTATAACCCCTCTATTCTGTTTCCCATGTTCAAATCTACAGACATTATCAGCTGGCTCAGATCTTTGTCCCATGTCCCTGTTCCCATCTAAACAGCACCCAGACTGTAAGATTCCAGAAGCCCAGTGTGTAGGTGTGCCTGGCTCATACCCTGGAACCCATCCACCTCAGCAGTAAAGCGGAGTAGGGCTCCCAGGCACTTCTCACCTTTGGGTTGCCTGCCTTTTGCCTGTGTATGTATCCCTAGCAAAAGACATTCCAGGCCCTGAGTCTGTGGAGGTATGTGTAAGTACATGAATGAAGCTATAGCAGTAGCCCACAGCAAGAGAGGTCCCAGGATTATAAAACGGGAAATCTGTCTCCTCTGAAAGATGAGATGATAATGTCACGAACTCTTTAGAAGTGCTAACAAGTTGTAGTTTAATGTCATGTTTTACTTGAGGCAGGTGTTGCTTGAAAGAGGAGTCATTTTGTATTATTTTTTTTGCTAATACCCATTTGGAGCTATAAAGTAATACTATGAATCCTGTGAATTAATTTATACGTGCTCAACAGTGTAGAAATACATGTGTCCTTTAAGGCAAGCAGCTGAACACTGTTATTACAGTGTTCCTGTATAACACTTTATACAGGTAACGGTCACATCGTGTCATTTCAACTGTGATTGTTTTTAACGTTTTTTATGCCTTCTTTGAAATGTACAGTGTGACTTCACTCTTACAAAAACAGAAATGTTACTTTTGTTCCAATAAATTGAAACTGCTCGTACACTTTCAACAAAGCTTGTGAATTTATAAAGAGTTTACATATATTTGTCTTTCTGTACTGGTGTGATTTGATTTAGTCGTGGTATGAAGTTTCTGGCTGAGGGGATTGGTGGTTAAATAAAAGCTATACTGGAAAGCTACCTATATCTAGCGTTAGAGAAGACTCCTCTTGTCTCGGGTATGTGTTGCCATCAGCTACCCTGGCAAACAAGTGCTTTTGAGACTTGGGTCCTACTGTTTCTATGCTTCTGCGATTTTATCACCTAGTAAATCATGTTAGAAGAAAAAACCCAAAGCCTTTTAGATCAGTTTCCCATTACTGAGTAAGATTGCCACAGAATGAGTGACTGGAAGCAATACTCACTCAGTGTCTATGTAGAATCCTACATTTGAAAAGTCAGAAGTCCCAGGTACATGGCTGCAAGTGTTACGTTATCCTTCAATTGTCAAGGCCGAAATAGAATGCTTATTATTGGTCCTTGGAATTTAACTCCCTGTTCATGCTGTCTGAGGGAGAAAACACCCCTTTAAAGGATCCCTTTAAATTAGGCTCCTGGAATAATTTCCTCAATGATTAACTCAGGATTAGCTTATTTTTTAAAGTAGGCTAATGAATGCTACAGAAATAATTTTAGTCCTTGGTTAGATCTGTACATTTCCGTGGCTGTGCAACATAAAATAATACATGATATAAACGACAGGGAGGTGGAAGGTAGCAGAGCTTAGAATTCTGCTTCCATCAGCCACCATAAAACCTTAAAATGCTAGATACTTCCAACTTTATTACAGCTAAAGAACATCATGTGGTAGCAAATCCTGTCAGCTCCTTCTGTACCATCATTCAGCAGTCTAACATATCTTTGTTGTATTTCCACTCAAGTTTGCCTGGGATGAAGAGCAATGGGTATACTATTTCTAGTCAGTAGCAGAATGCATTATCCTGTGCTCCATTTGTCCAGAGCACTGGGAAACCACAGAAAAGCTGAGCCCCTTTGATCTGCTGTTTAAGAATCCAGGTCAGAGGTAGTATGTGCCGTAGTAACTTTTGTGGACTGAGTCCCTCAGGAGCTTACTCTGGAATGAGCCTGAAAGACAAGAGTTTTTGCTTAGTGGACTCTTAACATTAGCAGAGGGAAACCAAAACCTCGCTGGTGTAAACAAAGACCACCTGAACTCAGTTATTTCTATAAGCAAGTGGCCACAAGTCCAGCAAAGACTCAGAGACATGACACTGACACAAATAGCTAAGAGACACCGAATCCTAAAGTAATCAGGTCATGGGAATATTCATGAATGTTACATGTAGAGATAACAACTCAGTTTAAAATGGAATAAGAGATCTGGTAACTACAGAAATTTAAATGAAACTAAAACAACTAGAAATTATATAGTCAACCATGAGATTAGGCAGTTAAACAAGATCCCAATGGAATTGGAAGAAAGGCTAGAGGAAACTAAAAAACGGAAAGAAAAAAAATCAGAGGGGAAGTAACCATGGAGATTATAAAGATTTAAATAGCGTCCTGGAGGAGGGGCAGAGGAAGGAATATTGCCAGAGGAGATGGACAAGGTAATCCAACCATTACTCTAGGAAGTAAGCTGAGCTAGGAAGGGAGAGTGATCTTGGGCAAAAAGGTTCCCTCCAGCTGAGTACATTTCCTGTAGACACAGAAACTGGAAAAATTCTCAGCATCTACATATATATCAGCATTAGATAAATGAACCTTAAGATAAAAGGTCTGAGTAAAGATAATGCCTGCATGCTAACGAAGGTTAAGTGGATATCTGTATTACTTTAGACCCAAAAGTAAAATGTAAAGCTTTTTACCTCTTAAGATATCATAGAAGAAACTTTAGGTGTCCTTGGTTTGGTGATAAGACAACTTCAAAGGTTTAATAATTAACAGAAGAAAACTTGGTAAACTTAGCTTCATTAATTACCCTAAAAAGCCTGAGAGTGAGAAAGTTTGCCAATGTACCACTGATAAAGGAAATGCCTCCTACACTCCTAGATCAGTGCCTTGTTCATCCATCATCAGAGAAGTTTCCTTCTGCTGCACATGGGAACAATGAGAGAGACCCACAGCCAGACAGTGTGCAGACATTGAAAGACCTTGGAACACTCAATCCTAAATAGGATATCTCTTCCCTAGGAGCTCAGGGAATCCCACAAAAGAAAAGGCAGAAAGTGTGTAAGAGCCAGAAGGAATAGAGGACACCAAGGAAACTAAAAAGCCCAGCCAACTCCATTTTGTGAGAGACCAATTCCACGGAGAAAATCACAAAGTCCACCTGAGCCAACAGACTATGGCAACCCCCCACTCCACACACACACACACACACACACACACACACACACACACACACACACGCCCTCCCCTTAGCAACAGCCAGGCTATAACAGCAAGACCAAGGTACACAGAGATAATCTAAGACATCCAGCAGAGAACAGATAACCTGACAATCCTGTTTGTCAGGTAGTTCTGCCCTCATGTTTGGTTCCTTCAGATTACACCAGAAATGCAGTTTTTAAAATAGGAATTTGCTGACCCGTATGGAAATTCACCAAGTTTGTTGTAACCACAATAATGAGCCTGAACCCTTAGACTCGGGGCTCACTCTGACCCACTGCAAGGGGGACGGTGGGAGACATTGCTCTAAGCTCATGAACTCTAGAGCTAGTGCTTTATACCAGAATTGGCTCCTCGGTCATCTTTGGGTACCTGCAACTTGGGCATAACAGAAACAAGGCCCTCAAAATCAACATAAAGCTCATATATAAAGCAGCAGGTTCGAGGTCTGTACTAGGTAGGTTCTTTACATAAACATCCAGTTTAGTGTTTTGATGGAATTCCTAAGAGTGTGAATGAGTGGGTCCCTGATCCTTGCTCTTTTTCTTCTGTTGGCTTGTCTTGTCTAACTTCCATGTGATAGTTTTTAGCTTATATTTTGTTATATTTTTTAAATGAATGGATGAATGAATGAATGAATGAATGAATGGAAACCTAGTCACTAGGGTAGAGGTTTACAACTGAACTGTCTCTTATATCTGCTGGTAGAGGGAAAACAAAAAGTCAGTTTTCTCCAATGGAATGATACCAGATATATCAACCACTCCAGGACAGGCCTCATGTTCAGGAGTACTTGACCAACATAAAATATAATGGACTACAGTTTGTATGTGTGTGTGTTTACTCGGTTAGTTTGGTGGGGTTCTTTGGGTGGGGGAGGTGGGGAAGGAGGTTCTTGGTTTTGAGCAATTTTGTTGTACTGGGTTTTTGTTTTTCTTTTTTGGAGAAAGAATTAAAATTAGATAGATGGGAAGGAGAGGATTTGGAAGGTCTGGGGTGAGGAGAATACAGTCAAAGTATATCTAAAGTTAAAAATTGTCTTAATAAATAAAAATACAATGACTTATTCATCCAAAATATACCAGGAACTCTTAAATTTTAACTCAAAGTCCAGGAATGATTTCAATTTTAAACAGTAGTAAAAATCTAGATAGCTCACCAGAGCACACATAGAACATACAAATCTAGGGAAAAAGAAGAAACTCTTGAATGTCAGAGCTATAGACCAAATATCCTCAGGTACACTCAAACAGCTAAAAGGGGCCAGCATGGTTAGCATGGCTGTATAAATCTATAATCTCAATCTTAACACTGGAGAGGTAGGAGGCAGACCTCTCTGAGTTCCAAACCAGCCAGGTCTACATAAAGAGACCCTGTTAACAAAAGAACTAAATAAAATCTTGAAAGGTAAGACTCATAATCCAAGACACTCATGAAGAAAGTTAAACAGGAAATCTTACTACTGCTAGGTGACATGCAATAAGGTCCTGGGAAGGCAGTCTGGCAGTTTCTGCCACATAATCCCTACCACAATCATAGGCCTTAGGTTTATCCAAGTGAGGCTCACACACATAAAAATGTGCATAAATGTTTACAGGAGCTATTTTCATGATCAACTAAACTTAGAGAAAACCAGGATGGCCTTCAGTAAGTGAATGGATAAACTATGTATGCATCTGTTCATTTTTATCTTAAAATCAAAGGAAAATAATTGGCTTCTAAGAACTGAAAATAAACCAAGAGAAAAGGCTATTCAAAGAGATTGATTGGAAACTATGGAAAAGAATAAACAAAGAAATCTGGAAAATATAGTTGACCCATTCACACTACTGTCCATAGTTTTATGTCAACTTGACACAAGAGTTATCGGAAAGGAGGAAACCTAAATTGAGGAAAATGCTTCCCTAAGATCAAGCTGTAAGGCATTTTTATTAGTAATTGATGGAGGAGAGCCTAGCCTATTTTGGGTGGCTGGGCTGTTGGTCCTGCATTCTAGAAGGAAGCAGAGCAAGCAAGCCATGATGAAGCTAGTCAATAAGCTCCATAGCCCCTGCATAAGTTCCTGCCTCCAGGTTCTTGCCCTATTTGAGTTCCTGTCCTGACTTCCTTTAAAGAAGGACTACAATGTGGAAGTCTAAGCCACATAAACTCTTTCCTTCCTAACTTGCTTTTGTCATGTTGTTTCTTCAGTTATAGAAACCCTCAGATAACCACCACCATGCAATCTCTCCAGTTGAAGAGTTCGAATGTCTCCAGTCCTTAACCACTAATAGTCTAGATGCTCTGGAAGCAAGCTCATCACAAGAGCAACTAGAACTGATTGCAGGTTACTACAGTATAGCTTGCTATACTAGCATGATCCTACTCATTTTAGATTTAATGCTATACGTTTCTCTGTACTTTGGCATCTTAGTCTAAAATTTAGTAATTTCAACATTTATAATTCTATATATTTTGATGATTCTGGATATCCATTTTATGCACTGAGAGACCTTTTTACAAAATTTTCAATAGTTCTAGTCATAAACAGTGCAATCTTTTCAAACTATTGCAAATCTCCCTGATCTCCCAGCTCCTTTAAAATGCTGTTCAAGTTGGCAATTACAGGAAGAATGCTGGAACAAGTCCCAGAGAATTCTACTGATTAAAGCCCTGGGGACTGACTCTCACCTATCCAGGATCACCTGTTTTCAGAAAGAAAGCCACTCATTCTGTCTTAAAACTCGGACTTGAAAATTTCTGTCGTGTCAAATTTAAGAACTAGAAGAAAAGTCAGAATTTAAAAGATTTTTCCCTCATCCAGCAGGACTGGCTGGACCCCATTCACCATTCACTGGTTCTGTGGTGCTTCCAAAAGCAATAGCTCTCATGGTATTCTCAAGACCCAGAATGGGTCTCACTCCTTATCCTTTACCTCATGGTTGTTGCCATTTTCTTCTGCAACTTGCTTTTCCACATGAAATGAAGCACATATGACTGTTCTCTAGGTCAAAAAACAGGCACTAACAGTATACGAAAAATCTAAAACGAATAATCTTCTCCCCAGACAGGAATAGTTTTCAACCAATCATCTGACATGAGATGAAGAATCAAGTACTCTATAAGACAACTAAGCAAAGCAGCAAATAGTCACCTGGAAAGATGCTCATTGCTAATTACAGAAGCAAAAATTAAGACAAAAATGAAATAGAACATTTCACTATATGTTAAAAATCAAACTAAAACCAATAAAAATACCAAGTACTAACAAGATACTGGGCAAGAGAAAGTGATATAGCCACTTCAGGAAAGTTGGTATTTTAAGACACAATTTGCCAGGAGGCTGCAAAGATGACTTAGTTATCTGAGTAAGGATTAAAAGCCCTTACAGAAGACTTGAGTTCAGTTCCAGCATCTACATGGCAACTCAACAACCATCTGTAATTTCAGCTCCAGAGGATCCAATGCTGTCTTTTGGCTTCCACAGATAGCTGCATACATGTGATACCTATTAATTTACATAGGCATGTATACACAAATTTACATAGCTACACAGACACATGAATAAAAATAAAAATCTTTTTAAAAAGACACACTTTACCATCTGATGGAACTATCTTAATCCTGAGTATTTACACAAGAAGTAAAAACATGACAAATGTATACATATGTAGAGCAGCTTTATTCATTAACAGCAAAAACGCTGAAAATACAAGAAATGTCCACCAAGTGGTAAATGGATACAATGTCATAACCATAAAAGAGAGTACTAAACAATAAAAATTACTAATATGTACAGTATGTATGAGTTATCGCGATACTTATATTAAGTGAAAGAGGCTGGACACATGGACTGTGTGAATCCATTCCCAGAAAACCTATAAAAGGCAAAACTCCTGACGAGAACCTGCTCCCCGGGCACCAGAGGGGAGCAGCAGGGAAGGGCATTTTACCTGTGAAAGCAACAAGAGAGCATCTTAGGTTGATGGGAATGCTCTACATCAAGACTGTACAAAATACACTCAAATTAGACTCTTAAATTGGTTAACTATACACATTACCTTAAAGCTTTAAAAAGTTATGGAAGAATATCAAAAACTAACAATGATAACATGATTTACTTTCCTGGATACATTTTCGAATATTCTCCAGTGAAGATGTTTTTTTTTAAAAAAAAAAATCAGAATAAAAATGCTGTTTAACATATAGGATTATTACAAATATATAGATATAAAACATAATAATAATTACTTAAGAATAAATATGAACTCAGTGTTGAGAATGGAAGGAGATATGCCATCATTTACTTAGTCTGACTGCACAGATACTGAAGTAATAATTTTAAAGTAGACTTTGTTTTACAAATGCAGCAAAATACACTTTGCAATTAACTGACTGAAAATTACTACAGTTTTTTTTCCAGGTCAATTAATTAGGAAGGTACCATATGGATGTACTTAATGCTCTTAAAACATTATGCAGCAGCATATTTCATTTTTACTCTTAAGTTTCTGTTACAGTGTTTTTTCCAGTTTGTTCTTTGTGCTGTGCAATGATGTTAAGACAACTTTTTCTTCTAGATGACCTATTTTTTAAGAGCACTACAGAACAAGTCATTTGGGGGCTTTGAGTGCATTTTTCAGTTAACAGTCCTAATCTGTGAGCAAGAAGCTGAACCTTCCGAGCACCTGTAATCCACCTTCTACCCTGCTTAGCTATGTCAGAGATAGCAGCAGATGCTGGCAAGACACCACTTATTTTTGTGTACTGCTCATCTGTAAAAACAATTCTGAAACATTTTTGCATTTGCTATGGAGACTAAATACTCGCTTGTAAACACACCTTGACTTTAGGGGCAAAACTAATATGCTGTTAATACTGTGACAATACCACTATGACTAAATCTAAGAGCTTAGGAAGAAACAATTTTGGTGAGACAATCCATAAGAATAAACTAAGGACACAGTCCATTCAAATCTTTGTAGACACTGCCAGGTGACATATACTCAGACATGGCCACAGCCCCTGAACTAGCATCAGCAGCAAATCCATGGCAGAATTATGGATATGTCCTGGTCATCTCACAACTTACTGGGGAAATAGACCAAACTTGATAATCTCAGAACAATCACTGACTCTTGGATAGGACAAAACAACATCTTTAAGCAAGAGGTAGGGACTACAGCAGCAAACCAAGAAGGGAGTCCAAAAGTAGGAAAAACCAACAGCTCTAACAAGCCTGCAAACAGCCTTGTTTTGTCACACTCCATGAGAGCATAAAGAGGCATAAAACTGGGGTATGACAGGGCTATGGATGTGGCTCAGTAATACAGCACTCATCTAGTATATATGAGGTCCTGGGCTCAACCGTCTCCAAGGTCCTCAGTCCAAAAAATAAAACGGTAAAATTGATTACTAAAGGTTAAAAAATATTTCATGGACAAATAGTAACAAGCACGGTGTGAGGACCACACGCATCAGACACCAGGCTGTGGCCCTTCACACATATCACCATATTTAATCCTCACAATCTTTCCCTGTCTTTCAGATAAGGAAAAGGGGCTGAGACAGGACTTCCACCATCACACCCAGACACATGCTCAGTTGCTACATTGTGCTACACGGAGCAGGACAGGACGGTAGGTAATCTAAGAACCTTTTTAAACAGTTAAAAACAAAAGCAAACAAGTAAAAGCAATCAAACGAGCCAAGTGATAGGTAGAGCTCTAGAAACCAAGCCAAGAAGTTAGCTGAGATTTAGATATTGTACATTTTATTAAATACTGGGCTTTATTACAACAAATTTACTTATAAGTTCATTTTTAAAAAATGTGGTTGTATTCAAATTTTACTTCACACTGCTTTTTGACCCAACTTTCTATTTTTTACTGTCTCTAGTCAGTCATTATGGTCAGAAAATTAATTTTGCATAATAGCATAAAGGAATTTCTCAATGTTACAACTTTGGGAATTCTCCCAAAGTGTGGACATATCTACAACAGAGGATAAGGTCAGAATGCATACTGCTTTTTCCAATGTCTTTATAGTAGCTATATGGCACTGTTTAGTCATGCACGTTAACTCTTTACTACCCAATGGAAGTTTCTAACTTACACACAAAAGCAAGTCATAACCCAGGGCTTGGCATTTTGCCAAAACTCTAAAAAAGTGGGAATTATGGACATCAGGATAGGTTTTAGGCCACCACAGAAAGCTGTCAGCTGTAATATCCGTCCTGTGACCGTGGTGGCAAGTTCCTTGGAGTAGCCTTTTCTTGTGTTTTGATCAAGTCTAGAATAGCTGACAGTACTGCACAGTCTCTGGACTTAGTGTCGTTCCAGTCTACAGGATGAGGGCATTCAATCTTCTCTTGTAGAAGGATATCCAGTTCCTTTCTTAGTCCCTAAGGTTGAAGGAAGCAGACATGCTCATCAGGAAAGACGGATTTTAGATAATACAGCAAAGACAAATGTGACTTTGGTGGTGACAAGGATTTTCAAGCTATTACAAAGGAGGGCAAAGATTCAAACTCTAATCCTTAAAGTCATGGGAAGAGTATTACTGCATCAAAAATAATTTGGAAAACTAAGATCACTCAACACTACTGGCTCTCTTACAATAAACAGTCTTTCTAAAAAACCATTTATCTTGGAAGACATGATGTATGCCATGGACTGTGTGGAGGCCAGAGAAACACTTTCGGAAGGAAGTCAGTTATAGACTTCCACCATGTGTGTTCTAAGGCCAATGTAAGTCTTCTGCGGCAGCAGCAAGCTGCTTTCCATATTGTGGCCCACAAATTCACTTATATGCAACCTAACAGACAACCATTAACAACCGTACCTTAACAAGATGGGCAATTCTTTCTGGAGACTGAAACACAATCCATTCATCTACAGCAATAATTTCCTGATCCTTATCTTTCTGGATGGAAATATCTCCTCCAAAGAACAAGAGGCAGTATGGTGAAACTTCTGTACAGTCATACAAGTATATCTGTAAGAAGTGTTAATGTGCATGAGGAAGTAGGAAAGGATTACTACTACATAATTCAACATCACAGACATTGATCAGCTACTTTCTAAAATAGCTATTAACTTGCTTATGTGATTTTGAAAATTAATTTTGAAGAAATAAGACTTTAAGTAAACCTATCCTAATTCTTAGGAATATTATATATATTTTTGTTCTAAATTGAACATTTTCTGAATGTCAAATCTAACCAATGAAGATAAAATGACTTTTATTTGTATATCCAAATAATAAAAAATCTCACTCACTAGTCTGACCACTACTTAACTTATACTGTCATGCCAACAAATCTTTACACAGTACAAATTCCTGACAGCACTTTTTGAAAGCAGCCTCACAGAGAAAACCATATAAACAGATGATGTACTATACTGTCTACTTATAGGAAAAAAAAAGCTATAATTTATATCAGAAAAAAGCATAATTTTTAAGGTATAAAATTATAAAGCTACAAAGACATTCAGATATGCAATTATGTTAAATGTTCACTTACACTGCTTGTTCTCATCTTCAGATGATAGATAAGCCAGTTATAGTGGAAGTCTGTCTGCTCCACATTGACAGACTTAGGATGAATAGAAACCAGACCATCAGACTTTGTGTGAACTTTCACCCTTTGAAAAAGATACAATACAGTTCCTAAGTGTCTCAAGGGATTGTTCCCTCATTACTTCAAAAGAATTACTCTTTAATGGTGTTAGTACACAGTACATAATAAAGAATAAAGCACATGAAAGGACTAGGAAGGAGTTTACACTCAGAATGACCACTACTCACAATTTATACAGTAAATGAAATTTAAAGTAAATAAATTTACAGTAAATAAATTTTAGTTTTTCAACTAAAAACTTTGATTGGTTAACTATGTTCCCAAAAGAACCCAAAATTAAAATTCTATTGAAAAGACTTTTGCTAAAACTGATTTTACACTGTTTTTTAGATTTACTTTAGGTGTATTAATGTTTTGCCAATGTTTCTATATGTGCAGCACATGTGTGCTTGCTGTCACAGAAGAGGACATTAGATCCCAAGCCTAGAGTTACAAACAGTTGTGAGTGGCCATGTGGGTACTGGGAATAGAATGCAGGATCTATGAAAGAACAGCCAGTACTCCTACCTGCTGAGCTGTCTCTTCAGCTCATTTAAAATGTTTTTAAATGCCCACTCAAATTTCTCAACTTCAAAATATATATATTCAGAATGAGTATGTTTTGGCAGTTTAATTTACTGTGACTTCTTAAGGGCTTTCTTTTTCATGCAGTGTTGGCTTTGTGTGGGAAGGAGTGCATGCGTGAAGGAGAGGGAGAATGAGGGCCATTCTCCCCCTTCACCATGGTGGTTTCAGGGTGGTAGGATATGGAACTCAGGTTGTCAGATGTGGCAACAAGTGCCTGCCTACTAAGCCATCTCACAAGCCCCAGGGAACGTTTTTTTTTTTTTTGTTTATCGAGACAGGGTTTCTCTGTGTAGCCCTGGCTGTCCTGGAACTCACTCTGTAGACCAGGTTAGCCTCAAACTCAGAAATCCACCTGCCTCTCCCTCCCAAGTGCGGGGATTAAAGGTGTGCGCCACCACTGCCCGGCCCCGGCCCCAGGGAACTTTTTTGTTGACGATCACTTTGTAAGTCAATTTGTTCATCAATATCATTCAGATAGACATTTCATGGTTTGTTTTTAAACAATGGTAATTGTAAAATATTGGATTTGCTACTTCATAATCTGCTCTTCAGAGTTTTTAAGGTCCTATGAATTCATAATATATCAATTCCTGTCATAGTTATGATTTATTATTTGAAATAAAAACATAAATTACTTTTTCCTCAGTCAACCACTGTCATTCTGAAAATCAGGAGTTAGGAAATTTCTGTATGGAGCCAAATATGTTAAGATTTGGTGGCCTTCCAGTCTGTCTGTCAGGCCCACTCTGTTAATCAAGCAGGGAAGTAGACAACAGACAAATAAATGAGCACAGCTGTGTCTCAGTGAAAATGTATTAAAAAACTTCTGGGCTATAACATTTGTAACTGCTCCTAGTACCAACCATTGAACAAGCACACTAATCCAAAGAAAACTGTCTTTTTTTTCCATGAAGTTCTCCCATGAGAAGAGATAATAAAATGTTTGTATGTTAATATTAATATTATTCTATTAAAGTATCAGCAATGTTAGAAATCTAGGTTACTACTGACATAAAGCTGTGTGGTAACTCATGGATAATCCTCCCCTGTGTGAGGAGAAACAGGAGCTGGAGACAAGCAGAAGCCATGATGTAAAACCATGCTTCAAAACGAACAAAACAAAACAAAAAACAATAAACAAACAAAAAAAACCAAACCAACTTAGATTATTTACAATCTAGGTAATTCAGTCACACTGAAATTCGTCCTTTTACCCATAATCCTGTAATTTAACCTATCCCTAAGTCTTGGGGAGCTGTTTGTACAATAGAGAATGCTTAGTAGTATTCCTGGTCTAAGAAACATGAAAAGATCTCTTCTAACTATGGTACCAATACATACATCCAGCTACTAGTTAAATGTTTCTTCAGAGGAAATCACTCCAGTTTGAGAATCACAGTTCCAGAACATTCTCTTAATGTTGGTCACTCTGGGCAGACTGCATTTTCTAACTGTTTAATTACAAGATACCCAGCATTTTCATTTACATTAACATAATATTTTGCATGTTACTACAGTTTTGAACCATAATTTCCCCATTGCTAGTAAATACCTATGTTATTTGTTACCTACCCGTTAAAAGGCATTTGAGGTCAATTCCTTAGGAGAAACCCAAGTTAAAATAAGAAATTACCAAACTGAGCCAATGACTACTGAATACTTTCCAAAGGGTGACAATTCTAAACCCCTTGGCCTTCTTGACTGTCAGTACCCACACTAGAGTAAACAATGAGGCAGAAATATTCTTCCATTGTTTCCTCCAACACAGCTAAGGCCATGTGGACATACATTCCACTTCTCTAAAGAATGGAATTACAATTTTATTCAAATTGCTATCAAATACACACACAGACACAGACACAAACACACACACACACAATTTTACTAACTTGTTTTATAAATGGGTGATCAGATAAATGACTAAATCTGTGTTGTGAGGGACAGATCCCTATGTTCAAAGATTCCTATGCATCTAAATTACCAAACTTTCAAAGAATCCATTTCTACTAGAGGGTTCCAACGATGAAGAAAGAGCTGTGAGTAGTTCATAACAATCTTCAATGCTTACATTTTCCTTTTTTTACCCAAATTTAGTCGGATTTTAGCAACTTTTGGATATAAACCAGCACAGATGACAGCTTTAATTATCTTCTCGTTATCTATAGGGAAAGGAAAAGGAGAAGGGGAAAAGTGAAATACTGAAGCACTGGACCATGAATGGTAAGTGCTTTACTGCTTTGTTTTTCTTTACCTGAATTGATATTAGCTTTTGGATCTTTGGGACTTCTACTGCTTACAAATCCAGCTCCGAGAAGGTGCTCAGCAAACTGTCCCTTCATGTTATGCAGCATCTAGAGAGCAATGGTAACAGCTAGAAGCCTTTCATGTATCGGGCTTAGACATCACACACACCTCAGTTTAGGTTTTAGCTTCCTCTGCTTTACAAAAACATCAGTGCAATAAGGTAATACATTTAAAACTAGATTTATTTTAACTATACGTGCATGTATATTTTGTGGGAGTGCTGGTGCCTGTGGAGGCCCGAAGGCTTCAGACCACCTATAATAAACCTGGACTTACTCCACCAGACTCATGTGCTGGGAACCAACCTGGATCGTCTGCAGCAAGAGCATCTCACTGCTGAGCTATATCTCCAGCTCAACAATGAAATGCGATCATTAAGGAGGGAATTGGTAAATCACAAAAACAAGTTTCTGCAAATAAATGTTACTGGAACACAGCTATCTCTACTTTCTATATTCTTTGTGGTTGCTTCTGTACTCTAATAACAAATGAGTATTTTTAAGACACATAGCCTACAAGCCTAAATTATTATTTGGTGGGAAAAAATTGCATAAGGAACAAAAAAAAAAAAAAAAACCCAGTAATGTTTAAAGAATTACTCCATTTTGCAAGACACATTGGAATTTCCTTTTACTCTGCTTTTAAAAACAAGTAGAACACCCCCTTCCCCTCCAACCCCCAACAATGACCAAGCTTAACTACTGTTAACAACTAGCACAGAACCATTTTCCTTAAGAGAAAGCTTTAAGCAGAAATGCTGGGTGCTCAGTATGGTGGAAAACAACTATCCCTTCAGTTATCTTCAGAGTCATAATGCGGTAGACTCTGCACATACACCAACAGAAGAATTAGAAAGAAGTACAGCTAAAAATGAGATCCTAGCCGGGTGGTTGTGGCGCATGCCTTTAATCCCAGTACTTGGGAGGCAGAGGCAGGCGGATTTCTGAGTTTGAGGCCAGCCTCGTCTACAAGAGTGAGTTCCAGGACAGCCAGAACTACACAGAGAAACCCTATCTCGAAACACCCCTCCCCCCCCCCAAAAAAAAGAAATGAGATCCTATTTATTGTGTTTCTTGCTTTTGTTTACTGGGTTTTTAAGCAGGATCTCATATAGCCCAGGCTAGCCTCAAACTATATAGCTGAGGCTGGCCTTGAATTCTTGGAATGACAGGCATGTTGTACCAATCCTACCTTGAGATCACCTTTTAAAATTATAAAAGCTATTTTTAGCTAGGCATTGTAGTACTATATTTCAAGCAACTTGAGGCTCACACAGAAGAACTGAGGGCTCCAGGCCAGCCTAGGTTGCAAGCAAGACTGAACCAAAAGTTTTTATAAAGCATAATTAACTTTAGTTCAAATTAACTCTACAGAAATAAAGATGGTACAGATTTATCTGTTTTTACAACTACAGAAACATCTTCTAAAGAATACTGTCAAGTTCAACAAAGAGATTATAATAGGTAAAACTGGCTAAATGCAAGTGTTCCTTTTACAAAAGGTGTAAGTTAAGTTTCCCCACGTATTTCTTCTAAATGAATGGATAGCCACTTACTCCTGGTCATTCTAGTATTATAATTTTAGGGCGACCATCTCTACATGCAGTCCTCACTGTGCAGTTTCCATCACTACCCTGTGTTTCTTCTGTATTTTAAACAACTCCAGTATGCACTGTCAATCACATGACATGCAAGCTCCACTGCTGAAATCTTGATTCCTTGTCAGTAGCTGTTTTCAGGAACCCAGAGGACAGCATTTCTTTAGTTCTTTCTTAAATGTTCATTCTTTCTCTTTGCAATTGACTTAATGCCTTAACTGGATATGTTATCCACATAGACAACCTGGATTTAGGCATCTTTCCATAATGTAGTACATTCTGCTATTTCATTTCCGGGAATGGTTTCTGATCTGCATCTGGGTAAGTTTCCACTACACATGATACACTGATGGAGATCAGTCTTGTCCTTCAACTTTTTATTTATCACTTTAAAGTTATGTTTGCAGCTGCATCCATACCTTAACTACTTACACAGCTTTTTTTTATGTCAAGAATCTGCTTTCCAGGAGGCTGTTTGGTTGTGCTCTTTGGCCTTCAACTTGATTTCTTAGTTTAGCACCTCAGCTGTCTGTCCCTTTTAAAAGCTCACCCTTATTAGTTTATTTTCTTTTCCTCATTTTACTGAATGGATAATCTTTTCAGTAACCCAGTGCTTTGAGCCAGCTGTGAAATAGGCTATGTCCATTGTAGCTTTGGGCTGCAGTATCTTTCTGAGTTGTCACATCACTTTTCAACTCTGATGACAGGGCGTTTTTTATTAAAATGTTAATTTCTTCACACACACAGTCTCTCTCTCTCTCTCTCTCTCTCTCTCTCTCTCTCTCTCTCTCTCT